CAGCCACAGATCAAACACTTACACGAAATCACCTATTCCCAGCAGAAGGGAAAACCTTATTATTTCAGAATTTAGTTTCCTGCTGTGCCAATATCACTATCCTAGTAACAAGTACCTTATTCCTCAGTGCAAGCAAAGCGCTTAAAAAATTTTTTTTTTTTTTTTTTTTTTGGTTTTAAGGGATGGGAGGATCCTGGTTGGGAATGGGAAACACCAGTTGCTTCTGCAGCATCTGGGGTTTTAAAATCCAAACTGCCAGGGGATCTTTTAAGAGTTAAATTGAGGGAATTAATCATGACCTAGAATGGTTTGGGTTGGAAGGACCTTAAAGAAGGTCCTTAAGGAAGGCAGGGACACCTTCCACTAGACCAGGTTGCTCCAAGCTGGCCTTGGACACTTCCAGGGGTGGATCTTTGCTCCTAAATAAAATAAAATTTGATTGCTTTGCTTCACAGAACAGGTGAAACTGCAGCCCTGAAACCACCTCTTCTTATTTGGAGTTCATTTTAGAGCCAGCACAGGCCTGAAATTTCTCTTCTTTTCACCATTGCAGGGCTTTATTTTTATTTTCCCCCCTCAGAACTCGTCGATTTGCACCCGAACGGCCGAGGAATCCTCGTGTTCCTGTCGGGATCTAACCCCTGGATGTGTTTTTTTTCCCCCCTCCACCTTTTCCCAGATTATCGGACCGGGCCGTGCTTCAGCCAAGTGAACAACCAGATGTGCCAGGGCCAGCTCAGTGGCATCGTCTGCACCAAGACCATGTGTTGTGCCACCATCGGCCGGGCCTGGGGACACCCCTGTGAGATGTGTCCTGCCCAGCCCCATCCCTGCCGCCGGGGGTTCATCCCAAATATCCGCACCGGAGCCTGCCAAGGTCGGTGCCACCGGGGATGTGCCCGGGCTGGGAGAGGGGAGGGAGGAGGAGTGTGTGCCAGGGGAGCCAAAGGAGGGAATGCAGAGGATGGGGCAGCAAAATAGGGGACACGGAGAACAGGATATGAAAACTGAGCTCAAAAAGGGGGAACATGGAGAACAGGACCCCAAAACAAAAAATACAGGGAATAGGGAGCAAAACAGAGCCCTAAAACAGGGAACACAGAGAACACAAGACAACAGGGCCTCAAAACAAAGAATACAGGGAACAGGGCCCCAAAACAGAGCCCTAAAACAGGGAACACGGAGAACACGGCCCCAAAACAAATAATACAGAGAACAGGACCCCAAAACAGAGCCCTAAAACAGGGAACACGGAGAACAGGGCCCCAAAACAAAGAATACAGGGAACAGGGCCTCAAAATAGGGAACATGGAGAATAGGACATGAAAACAGAGCTCAAAAACGGGGAACACGGAGAACAGGGCCCAAAATAGGGAACATGGAGAACAGGGCCCCAAAACAGAGCCCTAAAAAAGGGAACATGGAGAACAGGACCCCAAAACGGGACACGGAGAACAGGGCCCCAAAACAGAGCCTTAAAACAGGGAACATGGAGAACAGGGTCCCAAAATAGGGAACACAGAGAACAGGACACTGGAAGAGAGCCCTAAAACAGGGAACATGGAGAACAGGACCCCAAAATAGGGAACACAGAGAATACAAGAGAACAGGGCCCCAAAACAGAGCCCTAAAACAGGGAACATGGAGAACAGGACCCCAAAATAGGGAACACAGAGAATACAAGAGAACAGGGCCCCAAAACAGAGCCCTAAAACAGGGAACACAGAGAACAGAGCCCCAAAACAGAGAACTCTCTGTGTGACTCCCACAATCCGTCGTCGTGTCTCCCAGAGCAGCACCACGGACCTTGGATCTCCCATGGGATCATCCAGGATCATTTTAGCTCAAAGATTCCGGCCACAGTGCAGTTCTCAAACCTCCACCACCCCACGAGAGGTGGTGAATTGAGGCTGGTGTTTCTCCAGGTTCAAAATTAAACCCCAGCCTTCCCTGAGGAACGAACCGCGGGGGGACAGACACACGGCCGTTTGCTTTGGAAGGCATTCCCAGACTTTTGCCTCCCTCCTGCTCGTGTGGATGAGCCAGGAATACCATTTAGGGCCATTTCCTGTCCTTCACTTTATCTCTGGTGCAGTCTGAGGGGGTTTATGAAACGTGATCTTGGAGCAAAGCTTTCCTCCCACGTGGATCCGTGGGATGGCCGCTCTTCCTCACGTCCCTGTTCTTCTTCCCGCAGATGTGGACGAGTGCCAAGCCATCCCTGGCCTCTGCCAAGGTGGGAATTGCATCAACACCGTGGGTTCCTACGAGTGCAAGTGCCCTGCAGGACACAAGCAGAGCGAGACCAGCCACAGGTGTGAAGGTAAGGAAAGCTCAGACCTGCAGGATGCTCAGATTCCCAACATCCTGAGGGCACAAGGGGGTGGAAATCTTGAGGATCTCCCTGCTCACAGGGCACTTCCAAGGAGAGATGGGAGAGATCTCCCATGCCAGGCTTGATCCTGCCTCCCAGACAGGGCAAAATGAAGTTTTTGATCTGTTTATTTGGTTCCCAGAGTCCCAAGGCAAGGAAAAGAGGAAAGGAAAGCCTGATCTTCTCTTAAACCAGAAAGAAGGGGGTTGGATTTTTTGTGCAGGTGTTTTGTGAAGGGTATTTTCATGGCAGCACAGACTTAAATTAGAAAGAAGGGGGTTGGATTTTTCAGGCAGGTGTTTTCTGAAGGATATTTTCATGGCAGCACAGACTGACTGGATGGAAGGGATCTCTGGAAGGCTTTAGGTCTCTGCTTAGCTCAGCTTCCCAACATCCTGAGGGCACAAGGGGGTGGAAATCTTGAGGATCTCTCTGCTCACAGGGCACTTCCAAGTAAAGATGGGAGAGATCTCCCATGCCAGGCTTGATCCTGCCTCCCAGACAGGGTAAATTGAAGTTTTTAATCTGTTTGTTTGGTTCCTGGAGCCCCAAGGCAAGGAAAGGAGGAGCAGGGCTTGCCTGATCTTCTCTTAAACCAGAAAGAAGGGGGTTGGATTTTTTGTGCAGGTGTTTTGTGAAGGATATTTTCATGGCAGCACAGACTGACTGGACAGAAGGGATCTCTGGAAGGCTTTAGGTCTCTGCTTAGCTCAGGGATGCCTTCAAAGCTCAGCCTGATCAAGCTTTGAAAACTCAAAGCCTTTTCTTTTGAGGGCCTTCACATGAGGTGTGAGAATTTAACAATTTCCAGGCTGGTTGTGGGAGTTAAGGGAGAACTCTGGAAGTTTTCTGGGAGCTCCTGGAACTGCTCTTTGCTCCTGGGCTTGGGGTGAGCTGGTCCAGTGTATGCCTCAGATAAATTTGGGCCTCACCTAGACCGGGGCACACAGTTCTGTGGGAAAATATGAATGGAGCATGTTGGGATCGAGTCCCACCTTGCTGGATCCCTCAGGAGCTCCCCCTCCCTCTCATTCCTCTCCAAGGCTCTCCTGTAACCAAGACAAGAGGTGAGGAATGCACTGAAATCCAGACCTTCAACATGGAATTTGTGTGGCAAAGCTACACAGGGAGAGCACTTAGAGCATTCCTGACAGCATTCCTTGTCTCAGAGGGGTTTCTTCCAAGTCATTTTTTTCCAGGAAAGGAGCATCACTGCTCCCAGGGGATTGTTCCCATACTCCCACTCTCCTGTAATCCAGGCATTTTCCTTGCTAGGATAATTCCAGTAGTCTCTAGTGCCTGAAGAAGCTGTGGCTGCCCCATCCCTGGAAGTGTCCAAGGCCAGGTTGGAGCAACCTGGGCTAGTGGAAGGTGTCCCTGCCCGTGGCAGGGGGTGGAACTGGATGACCTTTATGGTTTCTCCCAACCCAAACCAGCCTGTGATTCCAGGATTCTGTGACCTGAGTTCAGCCCCTCAGAAAATCTTTTCCCAAAGCAGAACACCAAGCTCCAGAGGTCAATCCTTGGGCCGGGGAGGATGGACCTTCTTTTATGTCCAGAAGACATCTGTGCCTGTGGATCTTCCCTGGCAGGATGCCACGAGACTTTCCCTAAAATTCCAACAGCAAGGGGGGCTTCTTGCAGTGCTCTGACATTCCAGGACCTGAAACCAGGAGGGTCCAGCCCAGCTTTTTGATCCATGTCTGGGGTGAAGGACCCGAATCCGAGGGTGTCCCGCGGAATTTCTCTGCCCTGCCCTGGAACTGTGGGCAACAAAAAGTTGTTCTTGTCCTTGCTCTGCCTCACCCACGCTGGCTGGGGAGCAGGCAGAGAGCATCTGCAATCAGTTTAGCTGGAATCTTTGAGATTAAAACCAATCCATTGTCTGGGTCTGTCGTCCAGATGCTGAGGGGCCCCCAGCGCCTGCCAAAGCAGCACCATGTGGCCATAAACAGCTGCCTTTCACTCTCCTTCCTGCATGGCCATAAAAAGAGACATCTCCAGCATCCACAGGGTTCTGTTCCATCACTTATCTTGCCTTGGTTGCTAAGGAGACCACGGAAAGAGGAGGCTTTGCCTGAGTGGGATCAAGGGATCTGGGAGTCCTTCTGTGGGAACGACATAAACAGGAGGGATGCTCTAAAGGGATGGGGTTGGGGTTGCTTGGGAGGGCTTGTTTCCCACGTGGGAATCACCAGCATGTCCCATCAGGATGATCACAGAACTGTGGGATCACCTTTGTTGGGGCATCACTGCTCCCCTCTAGGAATGTGCCCCGTGATTCCCTAAAATGATGTGAATAAGGGAATACAGAGGCAGCATCGTGTCTGCTGCTCACACCTGATAAATTTAGGAAGATCTGATCCCCTCTCAGAGTTTGCTGAGTGCTTTGGTACCTCAGGGAGTCGAGAATCAAAGCTGAGGATCCAATCTGAGGATCCCAATTCCCGACCTGCTGCCAAAAATCTCCATCCACGGCCCCTCCTCCCCGAGCCAAGGCTGAGAACCAAAATAACAACCACAGGCAGACAGGGACAGATTTATTCTTCACCCAGGTGTGCTCCAGGCCTAAAATCTCCGTGCTGGAGCAGCTCCCTTGTTGAGTCCCTGGGTTAATTTTAGAGCTGGTGAAAGGAGGGATTTTTCCATGTGCACCAAGCCCTTCTTGCTTTAGGAAGAGGAGATGCTTCCCTCTCGCTTTCAGGTTTCCTCATCCAAGCCCCAGCATCCAGGAAATATTAAAACTAGATGGTAAATTTTTCCCAGATTCCCAGGAGTTTGTGTTTTGTGCTTGGAAAGGTTCCTCCTGGAGGGGGGTGAAGTCAGCAGATGGGATTGTGCTGGAGCCAAAGGTCAGAGCCCGGTGTCACCAGGGGCTGCTGATTAATGATGTCTCCCTAATTAACAGCAGCAGCATGTGCCACTAATCTCCTCGGGGCTGTCTGTTGGTGGGAACAGGCAGCAGGAGAGATAATGGTGGTGCTTTCCCAGCAGTGATACTTATCTCTTAACACAAAAGGCACCTGGAGTTGGGGGCTCTGCTTTCAGTCCCTGCATCCCTGAGGAATAAAGATGCTTTCCTTGTGTGGAATAAAGATATTCCAGGCTGATAGTGGAGGAGGCCCTGAGCTCCCAGGAGGCTGCAGCTGGATTTTTTGGGCCTGGATTTTGGTCAACTCCAGAAAGAAAACGAGGTTCCTTTTTTTTCCTCTCTGCTCGGATTTGGACCTGAATACCCTCCAAGTTCAGGGTTGCTCAGTTCCAGGCTTGTTTCTGCAGCTCATCCCTGACAAATGTGACACTGCTGTGATTCCTTTTGTTCCTTGTATTCCCAGGGAGCTGGAGGGATCAGGAATTCCCGAGCTTGGGGCTGTGCAGTGTCTAAGGAGAACTTGCTGGCACAAGAGTTTCTGAGGGATATGAGCAGCCTGTGAATCATGGAATTCATGGGGGCGAATTTGGGGTGGATTTAGGGTGGGGAGGGGTCAGGCTGCTCCCTAAAGTAAGGCTTTTAAACCATAGCACCAAAAATTGGGTTTGTATTGTCCAAAAAGATCAGCAAGGAGGGCAGAAGTTGCCAGCTTAGGGCTGAATTAATAGATCCTATGCCTGGCTGATGGGGAAAAAAAGGGAAAAAAAGCAGGATTTGTGGAGGTTTGTAAGGGAATGAGAAGTGGGGGAGCCTGGAGAGAGGCTCATGGTTTTATCCAGCTGAGTAAAATCGTTGAGGAGGACACAAGAAAACCCTCCTGGTGCAAAATGGAGAGAGGAAGACATCAAAGCTGAGCTCAGGCCCATCCTCCTGATGCAAAGCCCTCGATCCATAAATCACAGGGAAGTGGGGGGTTGTGGGGACCAGTGACATTTTTAAATTATCCTGGAAAAGCGGCCGTAAAAATTGCACCGAAGGGAACGGCTCCGTGGTGTGCAGCTAAGGGGTGGAATCACTGGCTGAACAAAGCTCTTCCTGCCACAATTCCAGTGTTCCTCTGCCAAGAATTTTAACTTTCTAATAGCCCTTCCTGTGCTGGATGACAAAATGCCAGGCCAGCTCTGCTATCAGTGAGGCAAGGCCAGGATGCTTCCAAAGGGAATGTCTCACGTCTTGAATTGTTCCAGGGTGATGACATACCAAAAAAACCCAGGGAGAAACACCAGGAAAGGGACAGGAAGGCTCTGTAAACCATGTGCAACAAGCTCTGTTCAAATCCCTCCAGCAGAAGTCCTTTTTGACCACTCTTGGCCTCTCCAGGAGGTTTTGCCAGGGCAGAACGAAGCCTTTAATTACAAATATCACCAATTTTCGCTCACCCCTTTCTATTCAGATGTTACTTATGTCCCTCTTTTGTCACCAAGGGCACAAAATCCCGTGTTTTCTGACGAACACAAGGCTCTATTTTTCACTCTGTCCAATCTCATCCCTGTTTCTGCACAGGGGAGAGGGATCTTTTCCACGAGCTCGGCTGGAACTCGAGAGCCGCTTTATTAGTCCCGTTTTCGACCTTCCTGCAAAACTCCTACAGAAGAGCTCATTGTTTTGGCCCCATTAAAAGCTCATTTCCACGGATTTGGGGTGGTTTGGAGGGTTCCATTCCTCTCCTCTGTGGTTTCTTTGTGCTTTCTGGGAGGGGAGGTCTCAGACTCCCGTGAGTTGCCGTCGAGGCCTGACCTCTTCGCTACGTGACACGGGGATGTTTTCTCCATCAAGACCTGGGGTTTTTTTTTTTAGCAGATGGAGAAGTTGGGGTTTCAACATGTCTGTGGGCACCGTGTTGGATGGGCTTTGCAGCCTCCAGCTCCTTCTGGAGCTCTGTAGCCTTTGGCTCCCAGCGTTTGCAGCCGTAAGGATCAGGCTCCGACTCCAAGCCAGGGGTGGAGAGCAGATCCAAAATCAACGTTTGCCTTGAATCCTGCCATTGTCTGCACAGCAGAGCAGGCAGAATGTTGCTTTAATTTTTAACAGAGGGCTGGAAAAGTGGTGGAGGAGCCAGGCTGGAGCTGGAAGGATTCCCTGCCCAGCGCCGGGTGTTAATGGGAGGTGGATGTACCCGTGTCAGGCTCTCCCTGGCTCAATGAATCCAAACCACTTCACAAAGGGAAAACCAAGAAGGCAAAAAAAATGTGTGGTGGGGGAAGAACTGAAAGAACAACAAAGCCCAGAGCTCAGGTTCTCAAAGCACAGGATGTGCAAGGCTTGAGGAACGGCCTCTTTTCCTGCTCCTTGGGTTGCTGCTCTGGGCCGGGCTGGGATTTTCAGGGGGGAAAAAAAATTGCAGTTGGATTTAACCTCTTGAATTCACTGTTTTTCCCTAAGAATGGGGTGGATTTGCTGCCCACACACCCCTTTGGATGACTGGCTGTGTTGTAGGTATCAATCTGGCCCCCAGCCCTCTGATGCAACAACTTTCCCAGTGCTACACACTGGGAAAAAACTGGTTTTTTTCGCTAATAGTACAACCAGCTTCTGCTCCACAAAGCTCTTTTCCTTCCAGTGCTCTGTGAATTGTAACCCAAGGCAGGGCTGTAATTAAATGACAGGGCAGGCTGGAGTGATAAAATCTCTTTTTCACTGCAGGGGCCCAGGTGGGGGAAGTGTTTTCTGTCCTTTTGCTTCGCTGCCTTGGGAGGTTTCGAGTCCTTTCCGTCTGTCCTGGGGGCTCTGAGCCAGAGGAGCACGGGAAGGGCTCAGGGGACATCTCAGGTGGTGGCTGAAGGCGGAATTTTAGTCCTAAAAAGCCAAGTAGGGAAGTGTCTTCCCGTTTTTAGTAGAATAGAATCATAGAATCACAAAAGAGAACCACAGAATGATGGAATCATGGAATGGGTTGGCTTGGAAAGGACCTTAAATATTGTCAGATTCCACCCCCTGCCACGGGCAGGGACACCTCCCACTACCCCAGGTTGCTCCAACCTGCCCTTGGACACTTCCAGGGATGGGGCAGCCACAGCTTCTCTGGGAATTCCATCCCAGCCCCTCCCCACCCTCACAGGGAGAAATTCCTTCCCAATATCCCACCTAACCCTGCCTCTGGCAGTTTGAAGCCATTCCCCCCTTGTGCTGTCACAACAGCTGCTGCTAAAAAGTGCAGGAACTTCAGGAAGAGCTGATTGTGCCTGGAAATGGGAATAACAACCAACATCAGCTCAGCTACGGGGAATCCCAGACTGGTTTGGGATGGTTTGGGATGGGAGGGACCTTAAAGCTCATCCAGTTCCACCCCCTGCCATGGGCAGGGACACTTCCCACTGGAGCAGGGGGAGATCAGAGCAGGATTAAACATCTCCTGCCTTTCTCCCTCCCACCTTCAGGGCTGCACTGGCACCTGCAGCCACTGCAGGGCACTGTGGGATCGCGATTCCCTTCCCGACTCCAGCATTCCTCACTTTCCCACCGGACAAGGACCCGAGTCACCGCCCCTCGGGGTCACCCACGTTATTTTCCCGACGGAATTTTACTGCTCCTTTCTCGCACCCATCCTCACACCCAGGAGTTCTGGCTCCCAGGTGACCCTTTCCCAGAAAATCTGCCGGATGAGCTCTTTCCAAAAAAATCCCCTTCACCCCCTTCCCACACGAGGGGTCTTTGCTGTTTTGTCTTTTTTTTTTTTTTTGGCAGATTTTCTTTTAGATTAGTCTTTTATTTTTAGTTTAGTCTTTTTTTTTTTTTTTTGCAGATTTTCTTTGCAGATTAGTCTTTTATTTTTAGTTTAGTCTTTTTTTTTTTTTTTTGCAGATTT